AGCAGTCCACCTCTACCTGAAGGACAAAGGACATTCTTTTGAGGACAGTGAAGTCCAGATCCTCTCCAGAGAACATCGCTGGTTTGACAGAGGAGTTAAGGAAACTATTTTTGTAAAAATAGAACACCCCTCACTAAATAGGGGTTTTGGAGTAAGACACAACTCATCCATCTACAACTCTGTTTTGAGATCTTGCCCAAACATGCCCACCAGGACAATAGGCGTCGGTCCACAGGTGAAGGTTCAAAGACAGGTAACGACGCTCACCAATACTGGACTACAACGACTCAGTCATTAGGGGACATTGTTGGCCTTCAAAGGACTGAAACACCACTGATGGGGATAAGTACAGTATCTCCTGGTCACCACCAGTCGGACAGAACTGATGAAGCCTCTTGGATCCGAGGTGAAACGTCTTTGACATAAAATCAAGTCCTTACTTTGACCTGGATGACTGTAAATCTGCATGGACAGCTCAAACTAATGCAGTCCTGTGTGAAGGTGATGATGTTTTGTTACTGTTGCTGATTTCAGCTGTGTGATGACTTTAGAAGCTTCATGAGGGTAAGATTTGCAGGACTGTTGTAGATTGTTTTATCTAGCAGCTGAGTATATAGACATATGGGAGAGTCTGTCCTTGGTGGTGTTATTGGGGGGGAGTTCAGATCCTGCATTTTTTTTTTTCCTCAGCTCCCCACACCTGACCAATCACAGAGGCTCATCAGGTTCAGAAAGTTCAAGAACAGTCAGAGCTGTCAGTTATAGTGTCAGGAATGTTTCCCGTGGGAGGGGTTTTCAGAACCTGTTCAGTGACTGTAGATTAGAATGCCAGTCAGCTCAACAGCCTGTGTTGGGACAGGTGAGCAAATGCTGAGTGCTTGCAGTCCATTCTTTTAATAAGAAATTACCACAGAAAAATGATTTAACAACAAAGGGTACAGTGGGTACGGAAAGTATTCAGACCCCCTTAAATGTTTCACTCTTTGTTATATTGCAGCCATATGATTTGATTTGATTTATTCTTTCAAACATGCAGAACAAACGACATCTACACACACATACAAATCCAACCAATGCTGATTTAGAATCAGTTTGCTTATACCTAGTACATGTTTGAATGGAGTAGGAAGAAGTCAGACTTATCCAGTCCTACCCCATAACATCATCTTATACAAAAAATTTCATGCATCATTGGCTGCAAGCAGTATCTCTACATAGGTAATTCATCACCAGACAAGTAATACACAGAAAATTTAAAACAGAGTGTTTCCTTCCTGCATTCTTGATTAAATCTCTTATTCTTGCATGTATCTTGAATGACACATACATTTATATTTATATTTAAACTCCTCGATTCTATTACTGTTTTTCATGTCTACACTTAAATTATTCCATAGTTTTACCCCACTTATAGAAATACAAAATCTTTTTTTGGTCGTACGTATAGCATGAACTTTTAGATTCAACTGACCCCTTAAATTATATCCCCCTTCCCTTTCATCAAATAACTTTTGGATTCCACCAGGTAATAAGTCGTTCCTGGCTTTATACATAAACACCGTGGTCTTATATTCCACTAAATCAAAAATTTTTAACAATTTAGACTGTATGAAAGCTCCATTGGTGGGATCCCTATACCCCTTCTTATGCACAATTCTT